GCAGAAAGCCTCACCTGGAAGTGGAAGATACCGGCGTATTGGTGGCTGAAGCTCTGACCGTGAGGAACAACGCGATGCAGCAGCTGCTCGTTCAGCGTCAGCGAGCCAATCGCAGCCAGCAGCCAGCAGTCACCTGCAGGAGCACACACAGGTGAGACAGGTGCACACCTGAGCCTCTTTTACAGGTTACTTCAGCCTGAATGAAGTGAAGCTGCAGCCTCTGCTTATTCTTTTTAATCTGATCTGATTGGACAAACCTGAATGGAGAGGCAGCGCCCTCTGCAGGCGGTCTGTGGTTACATCACCTTTAATCAGGTGAAGAGCTGCTGGGAGCGCTGGGCTCACATCAGCATGACTCTGATGACTCTGATGATGATGATGATGATGATGGGAAGTGTTTGTCGACATTCTTCTGACGGCCTCTCGGGACTCTAATGCTAAGCTAACAGTACATTAAGCTGCTAATGGTTCCTGCTAATGGACGGTCCAGCGTTCACAGATCAATACAGGTCAGAGTGCTGCTTTCAAGTACATCCCGTAACATCAAACTCTACTTCAGGAAATATATTCATCACATTCTTCGTGTTCACCTGGTTTACACCTGGAAACAGGTGAAGCTTAGACAACATTTTAAGCTCTTAATTAAAAGGTTAAACCAAATAAACAACCCCTTCGCTCATCTTCTCTTTTCAAGGCTTGGATGGAGACTGAGTCCTGAGCGAGGCCACAACGGGCGAGACAAAGAGACCTCAGAGCCGACCACAGGTGGCACACCTGCCCGTGTTTCAGGAAGGTCTGACTGGATGATCGACCTCAGAGATCAGAGCGATTCTTAGCTTCAGTCCATTGAATCGGAATCATCGCTGACATTCACGTGATGTTTGAATGCAGCACGTTTCAGGATGTTTGTCTGACTGAAATAAGAGGTTTTAGGTGTTCTGACAGATCACACACACACACACACACACACACACACACGCACGCACACACAGGTGAGACTGAAGCTGAGGTTGTTGAGTGATGAAGACGGCCTGTTAACCGCTGCTGCCCCGGCACTAGTGGAGCAGGGTAACCATGGTAACTAAAACTAAAAACATGGGGAATTCTGAAATAAAATAAAAACATAAAAAGAATAGAAATTTCCTTTATTGTCCTTGATTGTCTCCCTCTAAAAAAGGTCTTTCCTCCATTGTGTGCACAACCAGAAAGCAAACAGAAGAAAGTGAAACACACAAATTTAAAAGAGTAAAACTCAGTAAAACTCAGTAAAACTCAGTAAAACTAAAAGTAAGTAAGTACGTCACTCAGTGCTGAGCACGCGCCGCTGAAACCGGCTGCCAGCTCGCGCGGAGCTGGAATTGCCAAAAGTTTTGACTTTAGACAAAAACATTAGAACTGAACCGAAATGGATCCACACAGGGACGAGTTACAGCTGGTGAACAGTGGTCACGTGACAGGAAGTAAACAAACTCAAAACTGAAGTAAAGACTGAGGATCGCCGGAGCCAGGCTCGTAGCCCTGCAAGTGTTTCTGGTATTTTGTCCACTTCCTGTTTATCTCCGTGTTGCTTTTAGGGATCAATAAGCAGCGCAGTGGGACGTTAATGCTGATTTGTTTTGTTATTGATCCATTATTACTGTTTAGTTGTTATTGATCGCTCAGTCTGAGTCCCCTGTTATAATAAAGTGCTTCTCTGCCTCCAGCAGGCGGAGCCAAAGCGTCGAAAACAAGCCTGAGCTCCTCCCACCAGCGGCCAGGGGTGGAGGGTTCATACCGATCATTCCTGTCCAGTTCAACACACACACACACACACACACACACACACACAGTGTGAGTCAGCTGGGTGGAGTCCTGTGTGTGTGTGTGTGTGAGAGACACACAGAGACCAGTCTGTTGACTCACACACACATGCTGGTGTTTGCGTGTTTGTGGGGACCTGGTTTACTTCCTGTTTTCACAGATGCAGAGTTACGACGAGTGTAACACAACTCTAACTGTATGTATGTGATCAGCTGGATCAATCAGTTCATTGATCGAACCACCAGCACGTTCACATGAAGGAGGCGGAGCCTGTATCACATGACTGCCGAAGTGCTGAATAACGTTTGTTGAAAGCAGAAACAGCTTCAGGATGACTGGCTTGTTAATGAACAACAAACCACACATGCACAGGTCAGTGTGGTTAACCAACCAGCATCGAGAACGACCTAAACAAGAGGCCCAAAGGTTCTGCGGTGCTAAACAGTTTCCTGTAGTTCAGGAGAAGGTGCTGGAGGAGCAGGAAGTGCAGGTTTCTGTGTGTGGTTCCAAGAATCACACACCTGATTTACTGGAAAGTTCCAACCGCCGACTCACCCTGCATACCAGACCGGTTGAGCCTGTCCCAGTGCAAACTGGAGCTCTGGCAATGAAAATAAGGATGTTTGCATATAAGCGTCTCTGTGACGGCGTCAAAGCAAACAAACAGTCCTAATCTGAGCTGAGTCAGCTGAGTGATGCTGCGTTTTTATTCCAGCGCTGACACCAAAGTTCATGCAGCCACAGCCGCATATAACCGCTCGATACCTGCACCGATTATTGCACCGATAACTGCCTGATAACTGCCTGATAACTGCCTGATAACT